CGCATGAGGCGGGCGATGGTGCCTGCTTGAATGGGTCGCTGCTTTCCTAATTCGTTGGACGGTTTGAACAAAATACCAGTGTGTTAGTAACAAGCTAGCAAACTCATAGTAACACCTTATAAGTCCCTATAATGGCCGTAAGCAACTATATGTTCAGTAAACAGTAAAACGAATTAGCTAAATGTTAATATAAATCCAACAAGCGATGTAAGAGCTTATAAGATGTTACAAGTGATACTAACTAGTTACATAAAGTTTCTATAAAACCAGTAAAAGCAAGTATCGATGTTATTAAATCAATTAGCAAACAAATATAACCGCTTACAAATTCGGTAATTCGAAAATCTGCAGGGCGAGTGTATATGATTTTTGAATACTTGTGATGTGCTTCGCTTTACAAGATGGTGATGGATGTGTGCAAGCCTGTGTGGCTGATATGCTTGTGAAAGCCTGTGTGGCTCAGTTTTGTGTGCAAGCCTGTGTGGCTGATAGGTCATGCTGTGGCTCATACATATGTCAGTAAAAGCCTGTGTGGCTCATGTATGTCCGTAAAAAGCTTGCAGGCTCATATAATGAGAGCCTGTAAGGCTGCATGCAACAACCCGTGCCATGTGAGACTTATTTGCCTGTGAAGGCATGTGCATGTGCATGCTGGTATGTAGAATTTTGATTCGTAACTTGTGCTCAAAGCACAATTGTTTTACCTGGCTTTTGTATCTTGTCCTATCCCGAGTTTAGCTGCCATGGATGCCGGTCTGTTGGCGAAGATTAATGCAGTCAAAGAATCAAGTGGGTTGTCAATCAACACGAAGACCTCTCAGATCCTCGAGTTGCTTCAGCAACATGGGCACTTGTATACCCAAGTGATCAAAGCGCCCTTGATGCTGGTCCACCCAGTGAATCGCTGCGGCATGCTAGTCAACAGCTTTGATTCGCACGAGAAAGGATGGCGAGCACTGTCGGTAGGTTTCGACATTGCCCAGCTCGAGGGCAACAGCATTTGTACAGAGTTGTCTCACACCTTGAAAGACGAGGCTTTCAAGGCAAATGAAAACCTTGTGAAGCAGGCAGAAGGTCGCCTGGCTTCTGTCACCGGTATGGAGCGATACTGCAGCCTAGGATCGTCTCACATGTCGCAATTCGTTAAGGCAGTTTTGCACGGTTGCAAAACTGAACACGAAGATTTGAGCCAACTCAACGAATGCTTGAGCATGGACATCTTGCAGACCAAATTCCGGGACCACTCCTTCGTGAAGGTGTGCAGCGAGGGGTGGACATGGAAGGTGATCAGTGCGGCGGCATCTGATACCTTGAAGTGGTTGCCATCGATGGTGCAGGCATCTGCGAACAGCAGCAACCTGGTAGCGAAAGTGGCGAACGAAATCGAAGTGGCAACAAGCCTCGCTTACCATTACGAGCAATCCAGGAGCATGGAGTTGGCGGTTGAGACCACCAAATGGGCGATGCCCCTGCCCTACATCAAGGCAGTGGGGCACTATGTGGCGAACTTCGCTGGAGGGGAAGGGTTCCCTTTGATTCGGTACATGAGTGATGCCTCCAAGATGTTCAATTCCAGCTTGTTGCTGGGGGCCGAGTTCATGGACTCCCTAGCCTACCTACACCTGAAAGATTCCAGGTGTACGTAC